GTGGAGTTGGAATGGTCCGAAAACGATTGGCTTACCTAGGTATTGAGAAACAGGATGAAATCGAATATCCTGAAGAGCTAAGGGGCTTTTTGAATCGTAAGGTTTGGAAATCAACACTCGGGACGATCATCAAGGAAGAACAAACGAACATCTTCATTAAACCTACAGAAACCAAACTCTTTCAGGGAAAAGTAATTCGAGAGTTTAAAGATTTCATAGGGCTCAACTATGATCGTGATGTCGAAATTTGGTGCTCAGACGTCGTTGATATTGTTACGGAATGGCGCTGTTTTGTCCGCTACGGTACTCTACTGGACGTTCGGTATTACAAAGGCGCGTGGGACAGTCAACTTAATCTGGATATCGTAAACGATGCCATTTCAACATTCACGTCTCAACCCGCCTCTTTCTGTCTCGATTTTGGTGTGGACACCAATGGAAAACACTATTTAGTAGAAGTCAACGATGGTCATAGCCTTGGTAGTTATGGTATGGGAACCATATCCTACGCGAAGTTTTTGTCTGCTCGTTGGAGTGAACTGACCAATACGAAGGACATGCTGAATTTTTAGTCGTGAAAATCCTTTTTGTATAAAAACTCATTCATAAAGTTCATAAAGTACTGAACTAATTATACCTTTATAGTACTCTATGAATGAACAAGAAAAATACATCGAGCAAGTTGGCCTATTTTACGAACAATTTGGCCTTCCTAAAATGGCCGGACGAATTCTCGGTTACCTCATCTCCTCTTCCACCAAGAACAACTCTTTCCAGGACTGCATGGATGCCTTGAAAGCCAGTAAGGGATCGATCAGTGGTAACATTAAATTGCTATTGAGTCAGAACATGATTGAAAAGCACATGGTTAGTGGTAGTCGTCAATCCTATTATCGTATCGCATCTGATAGTCTGAATCGTTTGATTGAAGCCAAGGTAGCTTCGATTTCTCAATTCAAGGTGTTGTTGGAAGCTGGTTTATCGCTGAACGAAACAGACGATTCAGAACAGAAAAAGGAGCTGCAAAATATCGTTCGCTATTACGCCTTTCTGGAACAGGAAATCCCACTACTCAAACAGAAATGGGACGAACTAAATAATTAGAAGTATGACATTTGAACGAAAAATCTCGAAGGCATTCAACCTGACACATGAAAA